CAAACAAATATTTTTTTTAAAGAGGAAACCCATCAGGAAAATTTGATAGATAGATAGGAATAGATGAAGATAGATAGATAGATAGATGAAATAGACTGAGATAGATAGATAGATAGATAGATAGATAGATAGATAGATAGGTCGTAATATGGCGCAGTCATACAAGAGGACAGATATCACAGAGCAGTTTAATAGTCTTTTTTTTTTTTCCTCGTTTCTGGCGTAATTTTCCTATTTAGCTTTTGGAATGCATCCGTGGTTATCCCAATACACCTTCGGATCTCAATAAATAAAGAATTGTACATGTCAGACCTCCCATCCTGACTACCTCACCAGGATCCAACAACAACGTTGGGGTCAGAACGTTTGATGGAAGATAAGTTGCAGTGAGTGGTCTGGCCAAATATCAATACATCTTTTTTCTTTCCCATAGGCCGGGATCTATTTGGATCATGCTCGTTAGGTATTAATGAAATATCAAATAATAACAAATTATATTTTAGATCAAAACTTGTGCTCTCTGACTGAGAACGAACTTGCATCCCCTGTTCTTTATTGATATTTTCGGATATGCAGTCCGATAAATATAACATCCATTGTTTAAAAGCAAAAATAGCAATGTTTTTTCTATTTCAAATATCTACTATAATAATGTTTGAAATAATTTATATATATATATATATATATATATATATATATACAATAGGAAAAACTTTTCTTAGCCGACGCATTTCGCCCTTTGGCATTACAAGGCAAATATCAAGTCTCTCAGCGGCCGAAACGCGTCGGTTGGGCATAGTTTCTCCTCTTGCCTTTTTAGTCAATTTGCTCCTTTACAGATACACTTTATTTAAAATAATTTGCACACACACACACATATATATATATCTATCTGTTTGTCTGTGTGTGTGTGTGTGTGTCAGTACATAAAAATCTAAAACATTTTGTAACACAGAGCAACTATCTATTTTTAACATTATCTCCTCCCTTTTCAACGCACCTGATTCAATGTTGAATATTAATCACGGAGCTGCTACGTTATACGTAATAACTACAAGTAAATATATGCATTGTCTAATTATGAAGCCTTGTATAACTTATACGCCTTGCCATACTAACTTTTAGTGAAAAATGGATCTGCATTAATATCTAAATAATATTTGAAATTAATACTCAACATAAAACTTATATCTTAACATTAAAGCATACGATAATTACCTAGGAATTTCTCATGTTTTTTTGCACATTTATAAAGGAATTATTTTCTACTGTTGTTAAATAAACATCCTTGAATATGATATCCTTCATTACAATGACACAGTATACTGTGCAGATAATTTGATCTTCGAAGATTTTTTTTTATATATATATCACATTAATTAAACCGGTTTACTGCTCTCAGTGTGATTCGGATATTCTAAAAATTAATTTTCCTATTTAAAAGACGAAATAGCTCACACTGGGTATTCGACCCAGTGTGAACTATTCGTCTTTTTAATAAAAATATATATATTCCAATCCTGCTACTTTGTCAAGTAATGGAAAAAAATAAAATTATAGTTTGTGTGTCTATCGGAGATGAAATAGATCCTGACAAAGCAGAGACATTTATCTGGGACAGATGAGATGGTGAAACGAAGCCGTTAGTTATATGCTTCCGCATTAAGAAAACTAATAGAACTTTTTAACTAAGCTTCTAAAGCTTCTTTCGACTTACTGATTATAAATGTTCAATCACAAAGTCGATTACTCCTGAAAATACGAGGTCAGATCAACAAGTTTCGGGATTGATGCTATGGTAAAGGAAGCTAAATTACGCAGAGTGACGCCACTTGGCACAGATAGACCTTGAACTCTGTCGTGAATACGCACTAAGTTATAAAGTGCTTGGAAGGAAAATGTGTATAGTATGATCGTCTCACTATATTACAGAAAACTTTTCGAAAACTGTCATAACACAGGGCAAACCGTAGATCTATGGTATGACCCCGAAACTAAGATTCAGTCATCGCAATGGAAGACTCTCAACCTCTCAGAAACCAAAAGAAAGCGTAAATGAGCCGAAGCAATGTGAAATCCAAGAGAATGCGATGAGGCAGCTGTTTTCTGTTCAATAAAAGGAGCTCAAGGAATACTTCCCTCAATAGAAACTAAAGCTCGATAAAGTCTATAGTTTCAGAAGGGGACTATATCGAAGGAGGTTAAATGACGAATTGATATGTTTCTAGTTTTATTTATACCATTCCATTCCCAATACTTTTTTATCAGACCTGGTATTAGATTAGTTCAATTTCGAGGCATTTCACGTGCATGATTTGTAAAAGAAAAAAATTTGAAAGTTTTAATATGTACAACTAAGAATTTTCAAACCAATACATGTGCATACGATTAAAACTTTTTTTTTTTATTGTTTCTTTCTTGTATGTACCAGAATATAATCATTAAAAGACTGTCCAAAAAGTTTGTTGATTTTCGAGCTAAACTATTAGCCACTTTCAATTAGGAACACGTCCACAATATAATGACCGTATTGGGAAATTAAGATGTATATTTTCAGCAACTTTTATACAGTATACAGCAGTACTTATGCACCATTTATACAACGAACACAATCTTTGAAAACGGCAAATAGTTTAGGCGAAGGCGCTTGGAATCAGCAAACTTTTGTACAATTTTACATTCATTAAGTTCAGAAAAAGATGTTTCTAGTCATGCAAAAAGAAAAAAAATATATAAAAAAAGTATTTTGTCAGTCATGTTCAACGAAACATGTATTTATGTAAGAATGTACATATGGATGGATGACTTCATACATTTATCTATGCGTATTTATTTGATAAAATCAAAAGAATAATCTGCAGTGTGATTGGTCCTGACATGGCATATCGGCTTGATCACTTTACACCACCGTAATGTAGTTTCCCTAGCAATTTATATCGTCTAGAGCTTGGTAGAATGGAAGAGGCCTTGGTCATCCACTGACGCTGGCCTCATTTCCAGCTGTTTCGATGTTTGTCCTGCTACTAGATTCAAATGGGAACAAAGGAAAGAATGCGATTGACCGTGAACAACTTATTCTCTTCTTCTTAATCAAAGTGGTTTCCCTGTTCATCAGTCATCCTTCGATAATAGTCCTAGTCCATGAGACTCTGTTAAAAAACGATCTCACAATGGTCAAGTTATTAGGGAGGTGACTTTTTTCATGCTATTAGCACTCCTACAGATTGGTGAAGCACGATGGTGATTACAGCAACAAAGGATGGTCGACTGAGGCGTACCATCGATTATCAATATTTGAATTCGCAAAGCAATCGTGAAACCTACCACACTGCCTCACCTTTTCAGTTGGTAATGAAGGTGCCACCCAATACCAAGAAAACAGTACTGGATGGTGTCGATGGCTATCACTCTGTTATATTAGATTCGAAATCTAATGGGTTATTCCCTCACAGGTTCGAATCCTGTTCAGCGCCATGTAGAATATTGGTTAGCTTGCGAGTGGTCTGACACACAAGTAGACTAGTGTAGCCACCAAGTTAAACTAATTCTGAGTCACTTAATGGAGAGATATATGAGTGAATAGAGACCACGTATGCAAATGTGTTTGGCAGGTTCATTCTAGCAAGATGGACCAACCCACCTGCAACATTAGGCACTCTCCTGTAGAAATGAGGTAAAATTAGCTGGCTTGCTTTTTTTCAAGAAGACACAAGCGAAGGCAGCCATGTTAGCAGGTAAGCCACTTGACTTCTACATGGCTCGTGAAGGCAATCCCAGCGCCTGGTTCCGTTGTAGTGAGATTCGAACCACGATCTCATGGTCAGAAAGCGAATGTTCCAATCACCCGGCAGACACGCGTACATATGCTGAAAAACTGAAAAAATGATTTTAAAAATAACATGCAAGAAATTCGGTTCACTGTGTCGAACCAAACAATTTTCTTGTCAAGAATCCATCTTGCACGTTTATAAATGTACCATTCGTCCGTGCATTGAATATTGCAACGATATTTGTTTTTGGTGCTGCGAAATATACCTAAAAATTCTCGACAAAATCCAAAAGAATGCTTTGTAATGTTATCAGGCCAGACTAGGTATCTCAGTTTCAATCGCTTTCCCACCTCTGTCTCGTGTCTTCCCTCTGTCTTTTCTATAAATATGTTCATGTTAGTTTTTTCTAATGATCTCGCCTCCTTGGTCCCTCGGCCGCGTGAACTTAAGCGTACTATTAGGTAGCTACCAAGGTTTCGTAGTTTTTACTGTTGAAATAGCTTAACTGCAACCGCAAGTTCTATTCTAATAGTTTCTTTTCTCGTAGTTCTCACCTGTGGAATTATCTTCCGGTTTCTTGCTTTCTTGTTGCTGGCAATTTCAAAAAAAATTAAATACAGCTTCAGTCGCCATATTCTGTCCTTCTAAACCCTTTTCTTTTATTTTCTTCCCTCACTAAAGTCTTTTTAATTCTTCTTCTCCCAATAACTCTTTTGCATCTTAGTGGCATTATTGCCTTTGCGCGTCGTGAACTGATTAAAAAGTAGTATAAAATACCTAAATGAATATATTTTGTGTTTAAAATTGGTACCATCCACGTTATTGTAAAAGGAAACTACTTCTCTTCTTCAATATGCCCTGTCCTTTTAAGATGTTGGCGATTATGGCTATCCACAACTTCTTGTCCTTTGTAACTCTCAATAAATTTAAACGTTCGCTATCTCCCTAAACCCTGCTCGACTATCCATTCACTTAGAAGTATGCTTAGGTAGGTTATGCGTTGTTTTCCTATGTCTTTCTTGCCTTTATTCTGTTCTGCAGTGAGTGTTAAATTTTCATCTTTCCTTATTATGCGCTCTTGAAATTTCAACTGTCTCTTTCTGATGTTATCAAGTCAGTTATGTACCATGCGTGATACACGCGGGCGATCATGTTACATGACTGACGAGGCAGATTTTCCCACCAGGTGAGTTGCTATTTCTTTCTTCGGTGGACCAGTTGTAATCAAGACTACAGAACCTGGTCTGTTCTGCTGTTTACCCATAGCTGGTGGGAGAAGAGGATTCATACCTTTCCCAAGGGTATTAGTACATAAGTAAATGTAATGGATGCGACTTCCTCAATCCGAGCCGCTATCCATTACTCCACAGTGCCTCCTGTTAAGGATATGTGCCTTTTGTTAGCATTGTCTCCAGAACTTCTTCGT